AAAATGAAACAAAAGCACTTTAAAAATAGAATCTGTCCTTTGCACTTTATATCTAAGTTACATTGTAATCAAAAAAATTCTTTCTAGGACGTAAAGAACGTGTAAATTTGGTTTTAAAAAACTCCAACCCATTACAAATACTAAAATCGTAACTAACACTATGGAAAGCAATAATTCAATTTACGATATATAGCAAAAGCAAAATTTTGACTCGGCACGAGCTGTTTGTACAAATCGGCAATATACATATAGAGGCATAAACATAACGTTAACTTCAAAAACTAATTTACAAAACAAAAATGTCTAAATTCCTTTACAACAAAAGTAATTGAAGGATTTGAAACTAACACAAGCAAATTCTTCGTAACGACACAAGTAACAAGAGACATGAATGCGAAGAGAAAACAAGGGCAATTATTTTAGTAGAAAAACACATTACGTTTCAATTTAGACAAAACAAAACACCCCATAAAATGATAAATTGCATGTATATAAAAAACATCATCAAAAGGGCATGGCTCTCTACTTCAGCATCCAATCATTTAACACGAAAAGTACAATTCACATGTGAAAATGGGAGGACTATGTTTACATGTTAGTTTATTACGGCACAAGCAACATTCATATATTAAACAGAAGAGACAGGGCCCCCCTTTCTCGTATTTCTTACGCAACGTCTGGCAGCGGAAACGAAAGAAATAGCAACATACAGGGTGATTCCTATAGTACCTGCCACCGTTTGGGAGCGTATAGGGGGTGCCTAGGGGAGTATTTTGATATAGGACACTTGGGGTCGGAAATCTAAAATAAGGGCGCCAGAACCAAATTTATCTTCTGGAATTTCACGCCTGTATGTAGGCAACCCGACCGACCGACGTTTCGCGCGGAGCGATGCAGAGCGAGTTAGCGCGAGGAAGCGACATGGGTGGGAAGGAGGGAAAACGACAGTCAAAAGCAATAACGTTTACAAGTGTTCAACGTGGCCACCGTTGTTCTCAATGCACTTCCTACATCTAGCCAACTATTATTATACTATTGCCATAGTGTTTATTCACTTGATACGCGTCGTTGCAGACGGGATTTCGTGGGTTTAAACAAAATTCTGATCAAGTGTCAGCCACACATCGCCGCCTGAGATCGCTCCGTGTGCACCGCCGGCCGGTTGGGTTGGCTACCTACAGGCGCGAAATTCCAGAAGGTAAATTTGGCTCTGGCACCCTTATTTTAGATTTCCGACCCCAAGTGTCCTATATCAAAATACTCCCCTAGGCACCCCCTATACGCTCCCAAACGGTGGCAGGTACTATAGGAATCACCCTGTATACAGCGAAGAATCGTAACTGTATGTGGTACTCAAATAGAGGATTCAGGTAACGATACATATAAAACACAGTTTAGAGCACGCCAAACAAATAGCAGCATTTTATGCAAAAGGTAAATAACAAATTGTGACATGAAATTCAAAGGTTAATGGTTAGTATGAGAGAGAATAAAATAATTGCTACCTGTAATTATCCTTTTCAAAATGTTGTGAAACATGGTGTCATTCTCGAGGGCTCGGAGTCTAGTGACCCACGTTATCTTCTCTTGCCAAGCTTTGTACCCCAGCATCTCCGTAGATGGTAGAATGGTCAAAGTCGAAGACATCATGCTTGTTGTATAGATACATAGAGCGTTTCGTATTTTTTTCATATTGCTATACTTTTGGATGTACGAGGTGTTGCCTAACCGTATCGGAGGATTTTTATAACTTTGGGCTTTCAAGAACTTTTTAGACCTCATCGATCTAATGCCTGCACTCCGGAATGTTTTTAAAGTAGATTTAGAAAACTTTTAATAGATATCCCCGCCAGTTCAGCGATGGGAGTGTGGGAATCCCTTCTGTCCAGGTAAGGAACCCTTCCGTCAATCGCCAAAGTGGCTCCACAACAGGCTCGGCTATGAAGGTTGCTGGGGAATGGTTGTGGGCAGGCGGACGCTAGCAGTTTTTTTATTGCACCGTTTGAAAAGATTTCGTTACCTGATGAAACTAGTTGGAAAACACGCAAACTGTTCAAATAATGTTATTCATACAAGAGCTAAAAGATGACCAATGTATCGTTATTTTAGGTGAACCGTTTATGCCACAAATTGTTAAGTAAATGGTTGGCACTAGACGATTACGATTCGATGTTTAGGGAAGCCAACCATAACGTTTTGGCTCCGTACGGTAGAATAACCTTGCACGTATTTTGGGAATTAAATTACGATTTTCTACCAAACTATGTGTATAACGCCGCTACGAATCGGTAATGGTACCCCCAATGTTCAGCAATCACGTTAATTTTCTACCGTTTTAGCTTTACAAAGTACAAAGGTCAGATAGCCTTCACTCCGCCGGTGCATCGTGATAAACCACCGCAAATGTCGCATCATTATTTGTGGGGAACCAAGCCGTTAAACATGGCGTATACTACTCAATACACGCAATACTCTGGCAAGTGTGAAAACTGTGATTTTAAATGTGACAGTTTTCCTGTAGGTTTTGTTGGTCCACACCACTTCCATGCTATGTGTAAGCTACTAGGCTATCAAGGAATTGCAGTTGTAATGGAGGAACTGTTGAAAATTGTTAAGTCCTTAGTGCAAGGAAATTTGCTGCAATTTACCAAAACGCTTATGGTTGCAATGCCGAAAGTGTGCAAACTGCCAAGATATGATTACGGATCGCCAGGTATTTATAGTTGAGCGTAATCTTGTTGGTAATGATTTATTGCGTCTATAGGTGTGTTGAGTTATTACCACGCCCAACTAAACGATATTGTTCAGTACCCTGACGCAAGAACGGAACTGTTCCACAATTTCCGAGAATTTGGAAATACTATACTGTTCTGTCTGTTGATGGAGCAGGCTTTATCGCAGGAAGAGGTTTGTGATTTACTTCAAGCTGCTCCGTTTCAGAATATTTTGCCAAGACCTTTTTGCAAAGGTAAGTAGTCCTGGTTGATCGCAAACATTCTCTTGTTAGCGCATTGTCGATTTTTAAAGGGAGCTTATAACTTCACTAACCTGTTCCGCATTTGTTACTGGGGAGGGGGGGTGTCTACAAAACAACTGCTCCTTCCCCCCTGAAAATTTGTGAAAATCAAAGGCTTCCTATAAAATGCAGTTGGTCAACACCACATTGGCATGGAACACAGGGTGCGTCAAATACTTCCACCTTTATTGCTTAAAATCTATTGGTGCTACTAGAAAAATTAAGCATTAAGTAGCGCTAGCACAAAATAAAGTTGATGATTTAACCGTACTGTTCCGTGTGAAAGAGAAGGACGCAGCATAACACCTGCTTGTGGGATCTTGTACTAATATGCAGTGGTGTATTGGTAAATTACGGTAAACGTATATACAGGCGTCCGTTTAACCGGTAGGAGGGGGGTGTATAAAATGAGTCCTGTCATGTGTGGGGCTAAATTTGTAATTTTTTACAAAACAGGTTTTTTGTTTTATTTTTTGAGATCTAATGATAACACAACATAACTACAAACATGTTCGAAACTATACACTATACAGGGTGTCTCAAATTGAGTCGGATAACATGGCTATCTTTGTTATTATTGTATTCGGTTAAATTGGCAAAGTTGTGCAGTTTTTGATGCTGATGGCTATTCCAATGCTATATTTTGAAAAAAATCGTTTCGTAGATAATTGAAAAAAGTGAAAATCGCCATTTTTAAAAAGTTCAAATGGACGCCATATTGGATTTTTACGTCACTCGATAGAGAAAAAATTTACAAAACCAGTGATACTAAACACTTAGTATTTCATTTGGGAATAAACCTTACATTTTTGCCTAGAAGTTTACAATGTATTTCTGACGGCAATCATTCCAAGGCTGTGTCGATGGTGACTAGGCGAAACAATAAACGAACGAATTTGGTTTCAATCATAATCAGCCATGGAATTATTTCCATAAGAAATACATTGTAAACTTCGAGGCAAAAATGTAAGGTTGCTTCCCAAATGAAATAAGTATCACTGGTTTTGTAATTTTTTTCTCTATCGAGTGACCTAAAAACCTAATATAGCGTCTATTTAAAATAAGGAAGTTGATGCCATTATCTCGGAAACCGCCATTTAAAACATTTTTTTCCTACGTTTATTGAATTTATCCCATCGAATCTTTTATTTGCAACTTTTTTCGATAGCTCTCTTTGTTACTAAAATATTTGAACTTTTTAAAAATGTCGATTTTCACTTTTTTTTAATCATCTACGAAACGATTTATTTTTTTCAAAATATCGCATCGGAATATCCATCAGCATCAAAAACTACACAACTTTGGCAATTTAACCGAATCTGTAAGTATAAAAATAACAAAGATAGCCATGCTATCCTACTCAATTTAAGACACCCTGTATTCGATTAAGAATTATTGTATAAACGTACAACATAATGTATTTTTATATCATTTCCCAAAGGAATTCGCGAGCACTATCTGCAAAGGTAGAAGAAATAGTATAACCAAGATGTTATACGTACTTATGGGTGGGGGCTACAAACTGGAAACTCTTGTAGTCTCAAGATTTTCAAAACTGGTTACTCAGAAGTTATCACACGTTCTAAGTAATCGACGCCATTATCAGTGCAAGATTTTCAGCAATATTTTCAAGTTACGTATACGGCCGTATATTTGCGTATTTAGCAAATTTTCATTTCTACATACGCTGATTAAAAACTACTTTTAAACGTATACCTGCATATACCCTCCAATACAGCACTTCTAATATGACATGTTAAAGTTTACAACTGCACTAGGACTTTTTTTGTAGAAGGTGAAAAGCCCGAAACCAAACAGAAGAGGCTCGAATCGAAATATGCGGCTTTACAAATCGTACCGAACATTGAAAAATTGGGGACCGCCAAGGTATATTCTTGCGACAAGTTTCGTTTTCATAAATCCATTTTTAGCAAGCGATGATATCTAGAGAAGGCGATCTTTTAACGAGGGAACGGTTATGTTGCGGACTATCAGTTTTTGAAGTGGTGCTGAATCGACTGCGTAGCTTTCTGGATGATCCAGTTTGGGTTGGACCCCCACCGACTAACGGTGTCATGAACGTTGACGAATGCACCGAATTTCATCGGCTGTGGTCAGCCTTGCAATTTGTTTACTGTATTCCTGTCGGTGATACTGAATACACTGTGGAGTAAGTGCGTCACTTGATTAAATGGGAGTTACTAATTTTTTTTTCCAAAGGGAACTCTTTGGAGAAGGTCTTCACTGGGCAGGTTGCACAATGATTGTCCTGTTGGGACAACAAAGAAGATTCGAGGCACTCGACTTCTGTTATCACATACTACGTGTGCAACGTGTTGATATGAAAGATGAAATTGTGAAAGGCATCGTAAGTGTTAATGATGATGTACAAAAAAGATTGTGAGCTAATTTTGACATTTACAGAGTTTGAAACGAATGGTGGACAGAATTAGACGGTTTCAAGTTTTGAATTCTCAGATATTTGCGATTTTAAATAAATTCTTAAAGTCTGGCGAAAATGATGAAATGTCAGTTGAACATGTAAGGTGCTTTCCACCGCCATTGCATCCTTCGTTAACACCACAGCAGCATTATCACGCACCTGAACATCTTCGTCAAGCAATGATGATTTAACTCATTTACTGCAAAATATTTTCCATATTGCATGATATCTGCATTATCACAGATGTAAGCAATATTGGCATGTGTAGCTATATAAAGAGCTGCTATTTGTATGTATTATGGAAATACTAAATTTTGCCAAATTACACTTACATTTTGAGAATAAACAAAAGAATTGGTATTTTTCCATCTGTGTAATTACATTAGGTTATATGCACCTATTCTTAGTCATAAGTCACATTTACATATTCCATCATATTTATACAAGCATTTTTCATATTTTACATTATTTTATTTAAAGTTTATAAGCATCACGTGGTAAAGCAAATAAATACTTTCTTTTGTTAACGCCCAGAGAACCAATGTTTAATGGCACAGTTACCTTTACAAACCCACTTTATTTATTTTTCGTACGGATGGCGCTCCCGTGGTTTTCAGATTGCATCAACCGCCGTCTGTGCGACCCTAACGATAGTCATGGTATGACTGTCGGGACCGCCAGCTTTACATGCACTCCGAAGCATGGTAGTTGTATTATACATCTCCCACTTCCTGGCACACGATAGGCAAAAAATAGCCTTAAAATAGATCTAAATGATGCAAACCAGATTTTTCTTATTTCCCTTTGATCCTCCGGTTCGTTCACATGGTAAAGGCCTCAAAAAAGTCTCATTGACACAAGGTTTGACAGAAAGTTTAACGGCTCAACCAGTTTACGTCTTTCCCAAACTTTATTTTTAGTACATTTTGCAAAAAAGTATCGCTTATATATTTACTTTGGCTGTTCGGTCGGCTGCAAAGATTTTTTAAGTATATCTTTTGAAGGAATTATCGTAGAATGCTTGGGTTTGTAGCATTAGCTTTGTGTCACAATTCTTTGCATGCAGATTATATTTTGAAAGCGGATCCGTCGTACAAAAACGCGCTTAAGTAGCTCGACGCAGCAAGTACTTTCCAACTTATTGTTTCTATTTACTGTCTCGAGATGAGGTTCACTGTATAATCGACTTTTTTTCGAGAAAAAGTTTATAGTGTAGTATTTTTTTTACTGTTCAAGAGCATTGGTCTCTCAACTTTACATTTGCGACTGCCCATTTATGTGATCCCTTTGTTTCTACTATTTAATTATTTATGTTTTGCTGTAGTTTACTTTTGCTATCTTCTAGTAAGTTATTTTTTGCTTCTTCTGTTTCCATGTATAAAGTACTTTTTATGAACGCCTGTGGGTTTTTGTTAAAGTCTATTGCATTATCTTTGATATGTCATTCAGCATTCCTATTCTAGACTACCATGATATTTTTCTTTTTTCTCCATTTCCTATTCATTTTCTTTTTAATTTCATTTATTTTTTATACATTTAACCCAACTATATCCACCTTTATGCCTGCGCCAAAACTCCCAGTACAGACTTGCAGTAAGTATACACTAAAACATATTAAATGCTTCTTGGTTAGAAATCGGCATTTTAGAAAAGACAACAGAAAAGATAACAAATTCAAAAAATTGCACTTTCTCAATGTAAACACAGCGGAATATTTACAAATTACAGCTGTTATTATTTTTTTGCGCGATCGGTCATTTCTGACTATTTACCATATGTGTTTCCATGACAGTACGTAGCATTTACCAATTGCTATGATTACGACGACGCCAAAATTACTTACCGATCTAAAAACAGAACAGCAAAAATACTTACCGACGCCTTTTTAAAAACAATCAGTTCAAAATCAACAGTCTAACATTTAATCTTTAATTATTGTTAGGTACATTAAACGTACAATTTGTGCTGTTGTTTCCTATAGCAAGACGCTCATAAAGTCATAAAGGAAGTGCAAAGCTAGTAAACACCATCAGACACATGCACATTTTTATGAAATTATTAATTTCAATTTTGACATTTAAACTGGTTACCTAGTGATGTACACCATACCACTTCGATTATTTCGATTTATTCTGCTCGTTAATTTCTTAGTGCATATTTATATTGGTTGCATAATTTTAATTTCGATCGCGCAAAAAATGTTATAAGCACGTCGAACGTTAAGGGTTCCCGTTCTCAGACAATAATTGGAGTCGTCGCTTCGCTCCTCCTCCAAACAATTGTCTTCGAACGGTAAAAATCCCTTACCGTTCTCCATACTTAATATACTATATAATGCATCATGTTTCATTTGTTTAATTTTCTAAAGCCTACCTAAAAGTGTAGGGTGATTTTCCAAACAATCTTTCGCGCCATCGACAAATACCGGCAATACATCAAAAGTAAATTTAAGATACAATTTAAGCATTTTAATTAATTAATTAATCTTATTTTTCCAATATTTGAGCTAAAGAACGAGATTTTGAAAAACGGTTTTCACTTGCCTCTGGATTTTATTTGGCTACTTTTTCATAAAGAAAAAGTCATATTCCATTTGATCTTTTTTAGGATTTTGGATCATAGTGTCAAAACTAGCCCCCTGGCGGAGAAAGATTCAACTAAATTAACTATATTGATTCTTATTGCGCAAAGAATGCTCTTTTCAACGATACCAAATTTATTACAATCGGTCAAACGGTTAAGAAGTTAAAGCAGGTTACTGCACGCCCCACACCATCTTTGTTTTTGAAATAATGAGTTTTTGTTTTTACGAAAATGATAAACTGGTTCTCTATAAAAATGTGAAAAAAGAATGTTTTGTTTATTATGCGAAATTGAAAGCAAATGCAATTTTAAAATTTAAGATGGCAACTTGAAAATATTTTCCAGCGATTCTTCATAACCGTTTACCCAATAATTTTTTTTCCCCGTAAGTCATAAGACGAATGGTTCCCGAGATGGCCGAGGAACAGTCTTATTGGGTCACCTGGTACTTTGAAACAATCTTTTTTCTATCAAAAAGGTCCTAATTGCACCATTTTTATAGGTCACAATATAGAAATAATATGACAACCGCAGAAAGATCTGGTATCTCTTCTGAATTCCCAGATTTAAACTTATAAGTTTGCACACAGATCTGTAAATTAATAAAAAATAATTCGTATGGTGGTTCTACGCTTCTGTAGTACCTAACTCCTGCTAGTGTAGAAATTACAAAAAATAATTTATAGGTACCTGTGCATTTTCTTTAATTTATCCATCACTGGTTTAGTATAAGCACATTCGCATAATCGACACTTATACACAGATATATTGTGAATTAACAGCTAATTCAACTTTCAATTTTTGTGCAATGATTATGACTTATGCAGAGCTTAATTTTTTATTACAAATGTCCAATTAATTTTAACCTTATATGCTATGCAGACCTTTATACCATTTTTAACTTACCTATCCAAAAATATGTACGGACCAAGAGTCATAATGGTTATATGTACTTATGTAGACAATGTCTTTGTGGAATAAGTAAAATTTAGTGGGATCAAGGTCACTTTTTTGAACGTTTGTGTTTCAATAGATGACGCTTAAGATAAGACTTGCTATATGTGATATAGCTACACCTATCACAAAGAAAATCTTTAGACCTATGCTTTCGAACATGTTCTCTTAAGCAGAGCTTATTGTGTGTTACATAACTGCATTGGTCACATTTCAAATCCTTGATACGTTTATGTGTAATAAGATGCTGGATTAGATGCTTCCTGAGAGTTGTTGTGTAGTTACACTGACTGCACTTGAAGTTTTTAGTAGCGGAATGTGTTACAAGATGTTGAGTAAAGTGCCACTTGCTCATCGTTGCGAAATTACACTGGATACATTTAAAATCTTTCAATAATTTATGTGTTAACAGATGTCGTTTAAGATACGATTTAGTATTAGTGGCAAAACCACACTCGTCACATTTGATATTTTTAGGTCCATGTATCAACTTGTGCGTTCTAAAACGCCCCTTTGCAGTTGTTTGATAATTGCACTGTTCACATTTAAATTCTTCCACCAGGAGTTTATGTGTTGACAAATGTCGTCTAAGATGCATTTTACTATTAGTGGTAAAATCACACTCGTAACATTGGATCAATTTAGGCTCATGTGTCGACATGTGCATCTGGAAATTTCCCTTTACAAATGTTTGGTAATTGCACTGTTCACATTTAAATTCTTTCACCAGGGGTTTATGTGTTGAAGCATGTATTTTCAAATGACGCTTATCGTTTGTTTCATAATCACACTGATGATGCTGACATTTGATTTTTTCCATCGCAGGCCGGTGTATTAGGATGTGTTGCCTGACATCATCCTTATTCGTCGCTCTATAGTCACACAGGAAACAATTGAAAACTTTTGGAGGTGCATGTATTAAAAGATGTTTCTGTAAATATGTGCAATCATTTGTGGCATAATTGCATATGTGACAGGTAAAATATGCGTAATTTTTGTGTGTTAAGAGATGCTCCATTGATAAATTCATATTAGTTGTTGTATAATTGCAAAGGGAACATTTGAAGTCGGTTTTTTGCTCCTGTGCAGAAGTTTCTTGAAGAGAGCAAATCTCATTTTCATGTACGACAGACACTTTTGGGGTAGAATAAGCTGAACCTTCCGTAGTGGTTCCTTCTGGACGACAGCAATTGTTACCTTTGTTTTCAAATGTCGACATAGATTTAGGAAGGTCACCTGCATGATGATCACAGATTTCATTTTCAATAACTTTATTAGTTAGTTTTATACCCTGTTCGTGGGGCTTAATTATCTCCTTGGTTGTATTTTCCTCCTGAGATTTAATTTGAGGCTTTCGCCTTGTGTATGTTAAAACATGCTCTTTAAAACGTGATTTTATAATCATTTGTAAATCGTCCTCATCATTATTATTAGCCTTTGTATCTTTATAGATTGTTGGCAAATCACACTTGTTATGTTTATATTTCTTCTCTAGGTATCCTGAAATATGTTTCTTGATATCAATGCTTTTCTCTCGGCTTTTCTTAACCTTTGTATTTCTACAACCGGTTCGGGTACCACCTCTTTTACATTTAGATTCTTCCTTTCGACGTGTTGGAGTGTGTTTCTTAAGATTAGTGTCTTTATTAGATTTTGGATTATCACAGACCATTTGTGAAGGACACTTTTTGGTTTTAATTTCCTCCGCCCTATTCAGCATTGGAAAATCACACACTAAATAATTAACAGCCGAGTTAACCACTCGAGGAGCATGTAACAAAACATGTGCCTCTAAATATGTGCAATCATTAGTGGCAAAATTACACATATGACATGTAAAATACGCATAATTTTCGTGTTGTAATAGATGTTCCATTGATAAATTCCTATTATTTGTGGTGTAATTGCAATCGTAACATCTAAAATTAGTTGTTTGTTCTTGTGTAGACGTTTGTTCCGGACAAGGGCAATCTCCACCTTTCTGCGCTAC